CACCCAGGTTTTGCTGCCATATAACATGGTGGGGATTATAATTGCTCGGTACACCAGCAACCTTGCACCCCAACAGCAAATAGTACGTGACAGTACCATGGAGACTGAACTACAGGATAGCTATCCTTCACTGTCACTCTTCCACTGTCTTGGTGTTATGTGGATCTACCGCAATTCCCTGAGAGTTCTATATTAACGCAATATTTTGCGAGACCCTGTATACAGGTTGTGTTAAGACACTCCCATATAATAAATACAATCCTGAAGTTTAAAATAAATAAAAGGAGGCTAGACATTATATAGAAACACTTTCAAATGGAATGTTTTCCAAGAAATTGAGATAAAAATAATTCGTTTTCACATTTTATTTCTCCATAAAGAACGAATAAAGGAGGAAATAATGCTAATAATTCCGTTCTACACTATCGATTTCTTTATTACACGCATCATTAAGCTGTCCCCGCGAATATTGAGGTCAACTACAGGATAGCTATCCTTCAGTGTCACTCTTCCACTGTTTAGTGTTCTGTGGATCTACCGCAACTCTGTAACAGTCAAATTTCCTCGCAACGATCTCTGTGTGCTAGCTCATAAAATATCGCAAATAGCTATTATTTTTGCATCATGTTTACTATAATTTTATTTTTAAATATTATTTTATTTAAATTTTACAAGTATGCAATCCGATATACCCCGCGCTATAGAGCCACAGAATATTATCACTGGATGCCGCCCAACATTAGAATTTTTGTCCATCTCTCTAAATCTTTGGTCATCACTTGTCCCTTGTCACTGTCAGATCAAATCAGATGTTTTTGGATTTATTTATCCTTTGTTTTGGTTATTGAAATTTTATAATTATCAGATAAAATTTCGTAGTTAAATTGGTTATTTTTGACAGTGTGCAATTCATTCATTTAATGGTGGGAATTTGTGAATAAGTTCGTTCATTGACCGGATATGAAATATGACAATGAAATATATTCTAGAACGTCGTTTTTTATTTATGCCTTTTTGTGAGTTGGACTAGTCGAGATATATAGTTCTCTATCTATATCCTGGAGGGAGATTTCCGGTTGAAATCTAATTTTGTGAAGGAAATCGAATCCTTGCATCACTTCTTGTGTACTCCCCGGCTCAAGAGTGTCGTCGTGAAGAACTGGCTGCCGTTTCGTGAAGCATTCCCTGTGGGTGAATAGCAGGTCTTCCTAGAGAAGGATTAAGGCTTCCGAAACTCATTTGGTTAGAGACGTGGTTGGATTTTGTTGATTTGTATGGACCACCGACCAATTTCCGTAAGGGATTAAATAGCCAAATTTTCCGACCGATATTCCGATTTCACGTGCCCAAGAAGTCCCCGATAGTTCCAAGAGCAAGAAGACCGATCCAGACCGTACAGCACAGAACAGTCCAGAATTCCATTCGTTCCTGTTGCCCGTGTGTAGAGTTACCCGTTGGACATCATATGTTTTATATTCACCTCTTGAAGTCCTACACCTGGCCGGCATCCGTACGTCTGCTGACATCCGTGGGCTCCAGTGACAGTACACCGAGCTGCTGTGCACCGCCGTAGCCACCCTGTAGCTATACACCGTAGCTCAGCCGGAGGAACTTCCGAGTTGTTTCAAGATTGTACATCGATTAGAGTAAGACTGTTTAGATTTAGATTTGCTTTATGTAAACCACCCTGTTTGTATCTAGTATTAAGTTAGATAAGGGGGTTTGACGTCATAGGTTTAGTACTTATTGATTTAAATTTCATTTAACTTTACATTTCATTTAACTTCAATTTCATTTCTTTAAATATAAACTTTTTGATATTTTAATAAATTGCTTAAATATTTTTAGTAGTATTATTTACAGTCTGGTCTCATAGTTAAGTTAGAGTCACTTAAGTTTAACGAATTATAGTAATATTTGAAGTTCATGGTAGTTGCACTCAACAGTTCGAGGTTAGTGTTGAAGTCTACTTAATAGTAACATCTTATATGCCGAGTTCATAGAGTATAATCTCGTGGCGCCCTTTTATTAATATCTTTGAACCCCGACCACCCGGCTGTTAAAATTAAAAAGCTAGTGGCCTCTATGTAACTCATTCAGATTAAGTAAACTTTGTGTTTTAATGAACTTCGAATAAGAAAGGGCGTGGCAACTCCCTGAGAGTTCTGTGTCAACGGAGAATTTGCGACACCCTGTATACAGGTTTTGTTAAGACACTCCTGTTTAAATAAAATCCTAAAATTTAAAATAAATAATAGGAAGCTAGACATTATATCGAACAATACCAAAAAGAATGTTTTTCCAAGAAATTGAGATAAAAATAATTCGTTTTCACATTTTATTTCTCCATAAAGAACGAATAAAGGAGGAAATAATGCTAATAATTCCGTTCTACACTATCGGTTTCTTTATTACACGCATCATTAAGCTGTCCCCGCGAATATTGAGGTCAACTACAGGATAGCTATCCTTCACTGTCACTCTTCCACTGTTTAGTGTTCTGTGGATCTACCGCAACTCCCTGAGAGTTCTGTGTCAACGGAGAATTTGCGACACCCTGTATACAGGTTTTGTTAAGACACTCCTGTATAAATACAATCCTGAAATTTAAAATAAATAATAGGAAGCTAGACATTATATCGAACAATACCAAAAAGAATGTTTTTCCAAGAAATTGAGATAAAAATAATTCGTTTTCACATTTTATTTCTCAATAAAAAACGAAGAAAGGAGGAATTATTGCTAATAATTCCTTTCTAGACTATCTATTTCTTTATTACATGCATCGTTAAGCTGTCCCCGCGAATATTAAGGTCAACTACAGGATAGCTATCCTTCACTGTTACTCTTCCACTGTTTAGTGTTCTGTGGATCTACCGCAACTCCCTGAGAGTTCTATGTCAACGGAAAACTTGCGACACCCTGTATACAGGTTTTGTTAAGACACTCCTGTATAAATACAATCCTGAAATTTAAAATAATAAAAGGAGACATTATATCGAAACACTTTCAAAAGGAACGTTTTTCCAAGAAATTGAGATAAAAATAATTCGTTTTCACATTTTATTTCTCCATAAAGAACGAAGAAAGGAGGAAATAATGCTAATAATTCCGTTCTACACTATCGATTTCTTTATTACACGCATCATTAAGCTGTCCCCGCGAATATTAAGGTCTCTATTTTGTCTACCCTGCAAATAATTCTCTTTTAGGGCCGGTCGGGTATTATCGCCGTGAGAAGATCTATTTCTAATAAATCAAATAAGTTTACACCTGATTTAAAATGAAGGAAAATACGGTTTTTAAAACCAATTTTAGCCAAGAAAATATGATTTATGACCCGTGTGAGCGGACTGGAATTCTTCCGAACCAACTTTTCAGTTATACATAAAATTTGAATTTATTTGGGTAAGTTATGTATTGACATTTACATTTTTTATATCTATCAGGAAATTGATGAGGGTTAGTAACCTTTTATTGTAATAAATGTTTCAAGTCAAAGTCTTTCTGCATTATTAAATATCTAAACCTTAGGATAAAAAGGGGCAACCTCAATATTAATCGGGTTACATTAAAATTAAGCCAGTTTTTGAGAGATATGGTTTTGTGGTGTTGCAGAAAAATCTTTCTTTTGGATAATTTGATTTAATGTTCTCAAATTATGATTATTGTTTATGTTTATTACATGCCACGGCAAAATTCATATACAGGGATATTCACCTCATTCGAATACGGGGTATTGTAGTCACACTATTAGATTTTAAAAAATTGTGAGTGATGGGATTGTGAGTGATGGGATTTATTTATTATAATTGTGAGTGATGGGAATATTTTTATATAATATTAAATAAAAAGGGACTATTAAAGCTAGAATTTAAAATTATTTTCAAAAGGCACAGACTAATATATACTATCCTAAACAAATATAAAATATCAAAGTTGTATTTTTTTAAATGGTACACCCTGTATATTATTACATTTTTAATTTCTGTGATTAAAATAAAGGTAAATTTATTTAAGGTTTACCGCACTTTAATCTTACCTTTTTTTGAAATATTTACGATTTTGTGAAAATACAGTAATCATTTCTAATGCTTTATTTCTCTAGCCCCCGGTGTTTTCAGGTATACATAACGCGTTATAATCCGCCAGATATATTTTATTTGATGGATGGCAGAAAAACGTGTATCTTCACCTATAGATAGCAATATTTATTAGATAAAATAACCTTATCCGTCTGATATCCTATTTGGGACCTGAACTGCCAAATAGCGCTTTATTTGTCGGATAAAAATTTGGCGCATGAGGAGATTTTGATTTTGTTTAATAAAATTGCTTTTTAACATAACCTAACACATTGTTACTATTGTAGATTTCGTTTATTTTAATAAATTCGATTTTAGATTATTTCGAAAAGACTTACCTACTCTGTATGTAGACTATAACCATTTTAGAACGTATGAGGTATAAACACCACTAAACACATTGAAATGGTGTAAAAAATATTGTTGCTAGTGCCGGACTTTATAAGGAGTGTTACAAAACAAAAAGAACCTCTGTTAGAGCATCAGAATGAAGAGAATGCATTAAGTCAGGATAATAGTGATGAAATATGTACAATTACCGAGTAAATATATAACTCAATGGCAATTTATAAATTATTTTATTCAAATCCCTTCAATTAAAAACCACTACTTACTTAATAAAGCTCTAAAGTAGGTAAAAAATAAATAAAACTTTTTAAATCAAACTATTTATTTAATTTTTATTCGCATATCTTAATTCATTAATATTATAACAGGAACCTTGGAAAACCTGTTATTCAATTAACATTTGCTTTTATTTCTGTTGTGTTACAATTTTAGTTTAATTTCTTGCACTATGTAGGTACCTTATACATCTCTTCTTCATGCTGTTTTTTAAGTAACTTATAACCCACAAAATTCTAAAAGTTACTGGTTTGTGGAAGTATGCTTTGGAATTAAATAAGACGATAGAAAATTTCATTAATGACTTATATTTAATTAACAATTATAAACAATCAATGTAATTGGCTGTGACAGTCTCGATTATATGAGATTACATATGCAACTGGAATACTTAAGTGTTTCTGCTTCGGTTGGTTGGGAGAAAGGCCTCACCCTCTTCGCTGCACTCGTCCGCTGGTGGGTAGCGTGATTGTCCGGCTAACGTTGGAGAGCTTGTGAGACTCCACCAGTCTCAGTGCGTGAGCTACTTATGGGGAGGGTCAATTCTCGTATCTTCCTAGAAGATAACAAACAGCAGTATTCTACTCAACACAATTGATAAGTACCCAGTTTTGTGGTGGTGTTCTAAATTACCAATTGAACTGTCTGTTGGTTGCCAATGAAGGTACAATAAAAATAACTTATGATTAAACAACATATTAGTGATTTAAATACACAATAATCAATATCTAAATCCAACTACTAATTATTATAATAAAAATTATAATTAAAATTTAAAAAAGAAAATAGGCAATGACAGTTTAAATTAAGTTATATTTGAAAAGATTGTCCAAATTATTTAACGAATATAAAGAATTTAAATATAGAATTAAAAAAAATATAAAAGAAAAATATTTTGCTCTCTCTCTCTAGAAAATTCCAGACCACCACAATCACTTCGGTACGACTTGAAAAAATATATACATTGTTACAGTAAATTATTTGATTTAATTTGTAGACACGTGTAAAAAGAATAAAAAAATATGTAAGAAAAAAAACTAGAAATATATGAAAATTTAAATTAGAACAAAAGTTAATACTAAAATGCTATATTAAAAGATAAATTAAAAAACTAGATAGAAAGATAAAGGTAAATAGAAAGATAGGATAAGATACGAAAAACGATAAATGCGGCAATTCGACAGATACAAACTAAAAGAAAAGATATGTCACTCCAGGAACAAAGATAATGCATCCGCCAAATAAGATAAAGATAAGGTAAGGTAAATTTGGCAGATAAGACGAGGTAAAGATACGTTCCCTAGAGTGACCCAAAAACAACAAAAAACAAAAATCTATCTGTCGAATGGCCTGCCAATAGACACCACCACTACAGGGTCCAGATAAAACAAGAGTTGCCTTCTGGCAAGCAAGGATTCGTTAAAGGTGACATAAGTCGTATAATATAAATATTATAAAAAATCCTTACTTACCAGAGTCCCTCCTGGTTCGTCTCTGAGAGTACTCCTGCAGTGATTGATTCTATTCATGGCCCCTGAGATTGCTAAATCGAACACCTCTGCGGGTTCCTGTTCGACAGCTTGCGTCTCAGTACATAAATAAGAAAAATAAGAATAATTAGTACTAAATAAAAGTTAAAGGTATTAGAAATTTTTTTACAAAACTACCATACACGTGCTACTAAGATAAGAAGATAAAGAAATGATGATAAAAAAATGAACTGTGAGATAAAAAGATAAAATAGAAAAAGGAATTTAAAGTTACAAGCTAATTAAATAATTAAATCAAATAATTAAATCATATTAGATAGTAAGAAATGTTTAAAAAAATAAAACTAATAAATAATTTCCAAGTCGTACCTCGTGCCGGTGTCTGAAAAAAAAAACTAGGTGTTTAAGCAAAGAAGATCGAGATGAGAGAGAGTGATTTTCGCTAAAACAAGTCCCTTTATAGAATTCTCCCATTCATTTAGACATGCGTTAAGTACCAAATGTCAATATAAAAATTTATAATTAATAGTAAAAATAATAAATACGATATAATTTCCTACATACCTTCAAAAAAATATGTGTAACAATTGCATCTTAATTATTTAACACTAAACAAAATATTAATAATAAACCTTCGTTTTCATTAAAAACAAACAAATTATTATCGGTAACCCATAGGCAACCAGAAAATATATAAAATATTTAAACAATTTAAACTAACAATCATCGCTAGTGATGTGTACCACTATCGAGGTTCCGCAAAAAATCGATAATATATAAAAAAACGGATAAACGATATAAAAGAAAAAATGTAACGAAAATATTTTCGTTACAAACTCTCTAGCTAAACCTTTTTAAAACACCTCCTTTGAATTCCATTTAGTTCAATTTTTTTTACGGTTTAAAGCTCGGTTTAAAGGTTTATTAATATCAACTGTGTTTGTTTTAAATCAACTTTGTGCACACAAGATTTTTTCTTTATTCTTTCCTGTTTTTTTTGAAGTTCCATCACGTTGAGTTCTTAAAAATAAAAGTAATATGACAAAATTGTTTTATATTTAATTTATTTTATTAAACAATTTGTACATATTATGTACCGTATGATCGAATAAAAACGGCGTCAGCGATGGCTATGAAATGAAGATCGCTGTCATTTTATATGTAAAATTATATGTGAAATGTCATCGATCGTCATTTCCAAGCCAACTGGACGCCGTTTTTTTTTATCATACGGTATAATGTGTTAATGTAACAATTATTATAGGAGCTCTTAATTTATTATTATTAATTAAGACAAAAGTATTTAAAATCATATACCAATAAATGAGGAGATAAAACCGCAGTACTGGTCTTTGGGGTTATAATATACTTATTCTCAATCGTGCTTTTCTAAAGAAAAATAATATAAGTACATTTATCTATTTTATAAAATAAAAACTCACCTTAATTACTATCATGGATGCTATCCTACCTATTTCTTTATTATGAGAAGCCCTACAATGATACATATTATTATTTGATATTACTAACAGCCTTGTATATATATTTTTAAAGTAGATCAACCTAAGACGTTTATGGACTAAGACTACTAGATGGCAGGACCGGTTTCCCTACAGAAATATTTTTTTTGTTACTCTGAATTTTGAAGCTACCAATAAAAGCAGAGAAAATAAAAATATATAACGATAATTTTCGTACTGTGCCAATTGGTTACTAATCGACCAGATACTTTTTGTCTATTAGATATGCTATAAAAGCTGGCAATTATACAATTCGACCATTGTAAATACCCGACAAATTCTTCAACGCCGACGAGGCCGATGTTTCTCACTGATAAGAAATAAAAATGTTTGTTTAGATAATTTTCGAGGTATTTTTTCTTTCTGAATGCACATTTTAAAGTATTTTATATTCTTTGTCCCCTTGACCTATTATCCTGGTCGCACGTATGGAAGTTCTGTTTCTTCTAGTTTTAGAAAATGTTCTTATTTCTTTTTTCTTTGCAGTTGTAGGGTAAAATTAGATTAATTTATTAAGTTTAATTATAGTGTTTAGTGTAGCATGTTAGTGTAGTCTACCAAAAATAGTTTAGTAGTGTTTTTATAGTTTATTTTGTAGTTAAGTAGTAGGTGAAGGGATAAATTTGTTATTTTTTCTATTTGTTTGATAAATTAGTAATCAAATTGATAATTTGTTCAGTGTAGAATACAAGAATAAGTAGTGGTGTAGTGTTTTTAAGAGATTATATTCGTTTATTTTGTAGTTGAGTAGTAGCTGAAGGGGTATTTAGGTATTTCTTCTTTTTGTTTTTCTTGTAATTGTAGTAGTTCTATTAAGTATTGTGATAGATACCCTATATCTTCCTTCAACTTCGTTGAAAAGTGCGTTATCATATAATCTTGGTTTTCTGGTAGCAGAATATACGAAAAAAAATCTGATCAAATTTATTTGAAATTAAATTAATCTAGTCTTATTAATCAAATTAAACTAGTCAAATAATAATAATAGTTAGTTTCAAAATACTATACAGGGTGAGTTTCCTACGATGTTCTCTATGGGTATCTCGGAAACTACTGGAAATAGAGAGTCGGTTAATGGGGAAAGAATTGCAGTTTTGTGGGGTCATAAATATGCGCCTTTCGGATTTTTGAAAAAGTTTATCGCTTACTCGATATTTAAAAAAAACAAATTTTGGCTATTTTAAAACTTGTCCCTAATTCCATTCCAATATAATATATTTTAGACAAAAAGTTTTCAGATACAAGTTGTAGATAATTACATACCTAATGAGTTTGTGTTTTCTGATTTTTTCTAAAGCCTGTAATTTTTGACCATAGTTGGCCATGACTTCATAAAAATCACCATTTTTAAGCTTTTCAGCGATATAGGTATATAAGTTTTATCGAAAAATTACAGTTAGATACAGAGTTATAGTTATAGCCAATTCTTTTCTTTCTTGGCTAATTTCACTTAGTTGGCATGGTATTCTTACTCTGTTATGATTTATAACATAAAAACACAGAATATATTATTAAACGGTTCTTTACGATTTACATTATGCAAACTAAAACTGCATAATATCACTACCCCATACACTTAAGTTATTTTAGAAAATGTTCTCCCGTGCCCATGCAATTGGTCCACCATGCACCTCTTCCGATCCCTGAGCTTGCATAATTGTGATATAAATAATTCTTACCATTTCTTTCATTATTTAAGCTTAGGAGAAGTTTCATAATGAAAGTCATATTGGAACCACCCTATTGATGCGCGACTATCTAAATTTAACTTTTCTAACATGTCTTGAAAACCGTTCTCTTAAAAACGTAAATAACGTTCACGACGTTAGGAGGACGCAATCTTATTAAGGATGTGATTATCTACAACTTTTATCTGAAAACTTTTGATTATGGATAGGAGGCTCTAGATTGTTTATCTTTTAGATAGTTATTTGTTAGATAAAAGCTATTTATATATATATCTGAAAACACGGGGCCTAAAAGTTGCAAGTCGACTGTAAGGCAACGGGTCGTTTGGCCATTGAGAAGAAAACCTTTTGTGACGTCTTGCCTTCGTGGTTATGTTGGTCTTGAGAGTTTGAGGTATCCCTTGTCTTCTCGATTGACACGATGCGGCGTTGGGGTAGTGAGGTACCCCAATTAGCCTATTCGATTGGGATGCGAATCTGTTTAGCGGCAGATTTGCGTCCGGGGGAAGCCCCTATACTATTTCAGGTGACACTAGCTAGTTGTTGAAGACTATTAACCAATAGATTCGAATAATATTTGAATTAGATGGAAGATATGAAATGGGATATATTGAATAGAATGTCAGTGATGTCAGTGGCTAGGGGGCGGAGTACCCCCGGGTGAGTTTTACTATTTAACTATCAATTTTATCCAGATCAGTAAATGTTTGTTTTGTTATTTTCATGTACAATGAGAGAGTGCTTGCCGATGACCAACTAAATGGATATTTGAGGTGAATTTGCATTGTGAGACCCGGTTGAGTAAGCCCCGAAAATAACCGATTTTAAAAATTAAATTTTGCATTGTACTTAATATGTACTTACGCTGGGTTGGAGAACGTTCAGTTAACAAAAAGTACTTTCGAAATATTGTCAGATATCGAGCCACCGGACCTGCACGCAGATACAACTACAGTATGAAACATAAAATTAATAGAAATCGACTACCAATTCACAATAACAGTCAGAGTTTGTTAGGGAACTGCAAACTATTTGGTCTTGAATTTGTTCCGATATAATTGAAGCAGAAGGGCCTTTAGATTAGCATTTCGTAATTCGCGAGCGGTTCAAGCCCTCGCTACTTCTCTTTCTATGTCAGTCGGTGTTTGGGGGTTCGCTCTCAACTAGTTGAAAACTTTTTGCATTACTCTGATCCGACGGGCGGCTGTCGTGTCGGTCGAAACAAAATTCAACAATCAAGTGCGGAATTTGCGAAATGTGTGGCATCGAGCAAATCCCGATACTGTTCGCACTTTTCGTGTTTAGAGCTACTTCATGTAAATAGGAAAGCTTTAAACTTTTGTAAATAAAGTTCTCATATAGCGGTTTTACTTCCCAACTATTCCAATTAAAATCGAATATAAATTTTAGGTATGGTAGTATAACGTCTAATTTAAATTGTAACGTAAAATTTAAAAATACAGTTGATATTTTCCTACTTAAATAATAATAATATATTGTTTTGTTAGGAGTAAAAATGACACTTCTTGTGGCGAGGCTGTACGTTTACCTGACGAGCGTCAGCCAGATTACAGCCGAGGCACAAAAACTTATTTTTACTCCGAATAATATAAAAAGATTTGAAAGTCATATACCTAAAAAGATTTAGTAGAATACAGGGTGTTTCAAAAAACATGTGCCATCTCTCGTGGGGAGATTCATCACGTAAAAATAAGATTTATTTTTATATAAACATAGGTCCGATTCTGCTTTGTTTTGTGGCTAGAGGGTGTTAAAATTTTATTTTTTTTTCAATTTATTATCATTTTCTTCCAAGTACTTTTAGTGATTCCAATGAAATTTTCAGGGTAAAAGTTAATATAAATGCGGCATATTTTAATGCTAAGAAAGTGTCTACGAAACATAAATATTTCCGGTTATCACTCCGGTTATCACTGGAATATTTTTCTAAAAAAAGTGTGTACGCCACTGTTTTTTTTTCTCTTATTAGCTAAATAGTGTAAGTCGTTTAATGCCGATTAAAAGTTGTCTCTTGATATTTTGTCGATTTCAACCTCCTTGACGAGATAAAGGCA